CTTCCCTTCTGCCACTTCCCTATTCAGATTTTATTTTAGTGTTACCCTCAGTATTCGCTGTGATTTCTGGATATTAATTCTTTGCCACATTGGTTCTTCATTCTTCTCATAGGTTAGCTTATAATTTTGTTTCTGACATAATATAAATAGAACAAAAGGTAATGTTGTATGAAATGTTCAGATCAAAAAACAATGTCCTGTCAATGTTGCTTAATTTTTCCTTCCATTACTTCTTTTTTTACTCACAAATTGCTTTCAATGCTGACATAAATAAATATGTCACTTTATCTTTTATTTTCCTTAGGCTTTATTTATTTACTGCAATACCTTCTGACTCCTTTGAGAACAACTCATGTGTAGAGACAGGTCAAAGTATACTTGGGGTTTGGATTATCTGATAGGCAGCCTGATTGAACAGTCAGTCCCTCATTTCCTCGTTTTACCTCTGGCTCAGGAATCCATCCTTGTTCTATATTAAGACTCACTGAGTTCCAGGATCTGTTTTTATTAATTGCCATGTGGACATACATGACTTCATAATATATTTTGATTCAGAAGAACAAATTTCCAATTTTCCCTGTTTCTTTACTTATTGTTCTATTTATTTATTTATTTTTGTACTTGAGATTGAACCCAAGGGTGCTTTATCACTGAACCACATCCCCAGCCCCCCTTTTTTTGTTGTTGTATTTTATTTAGAGACAGGATCTCACTAAGTTGCTTAGGGCCTCCCTGAGTTGCTGAGGCTGTCTTTGAGCAGTGATCCTCCTGCCTCAGCCTCCAGAGCCACTGGAATTACAGGCATGTGCCACTGTGCCTGGCTATGACCTTAGAATTCACTTAAAATTTTTATTCATTTGCTTTATAGTTTTATTTATTAATGATATAAGTGCTTTTTTGAAAAAATTGAAAGTGCATACAGAATGAGACAATAACAAAAGGAAAAATCTTACCCCCTTCTCACTGTTTTTTTTTTCTGAAATTAACAATGTCTTTTTTTTCAACATGTACTTCAGGATTTCTATTATAGATAGTTTGGAAACTTTGCCACTATTCCTCCTGGGCAATGAGAAAGGAATGTGTCAGAGCAAGGTCACTTTTCTGAGTGTGGAAACAATTCAATACAATTTTTTTTATTTGCTTTACAATTTATCATAGGAATGCATTTTTTTTTAATTGAGAAGACATCGTGTTAATTTCTCAGATTTTCATTTATAATCTTTGTGACATGTGAAAAATAAACTATACATTAGATACATGTGCAAGCCACTGTATTGCCGCTCTGATATACTAAATGGTTTCTTATTTTGCTTGAAACATAATCTAGTAACTAATATGTCATAAAGATGCCACCGTAAGCATGCCAGTCATTTTAAAGCACTTTGCTTTCTTTTTGTTATTTCCTAATGATGAAGTATTTCACTCCTGGAAACACGTTACAAACTGCATTGCTACTTAATTCTTAAACTCATTTCTGTATGTATTTATTCAACATTCTCTTGGTGATAGGAGGTCCTAAATAAACATTTCTCAAAGGGGAGAAGAATGAATGAAACATACTACTTAAATAGAGTGCTATACAAAATGCCACATTAATAACTATGCAGGGATTTTTAGAAGTGGCTGATGTAGGAACAAATGCGTGTCTTTTATTCACAGCAAAGCCTGAGAGATGAATAGTGGGTAAGTGTGATGTGTGATTTATTCATACAACACTAGTAGGAGATTTATAGGCATCTATTAACCTACTTGAGTTCCAACCCTGTCTTAAGCTTGTCTTTTGTCATGATTAGCTGTGTTGTCACTGTATGTTAAATAACAAGTTGTCTAAACTGAAATATGCAAGAACTATGAAGACAGAAGATGAAAATTATTACACATGTACATCACTTCAGCTAAACCACAGATATATATCTGCTTGTATGTATGTGTTACAAAAATTACACATGCACATGCATTCACACAAAAGCAAGAGATTCCTTTTCTGGGCTGAAGATATATTATCATGGTATGAATTATGTCTCAAAAAATCTATATGTTAAAGTACTAATAATCAATACTGGAAAATGTGATCATATTTAGAGAAAAGATCTATACTGAAGTAATTATGTCAATATAAATTCATTAGTTTGGGCTCTAAGCCAATCTAATTGGTGCCTATACAAGAGAAGCAAATTTGAACACACAAATCTACAGAGGACAAACAAGGAGAAGACACAGGTAGATGATGGCCATCTATAAGCAGAGAAGAAAAGTTCAGGAGAAACCAACCCTGCTGACTCCATCATCATAGACTTCTAGTCTCCAGAACTGTGAGAAAAGAAATTTCTGCTGTTCAGCTACATAGTCTGTCATAGTTGGTTATAGCAGCCCTATTAATACAGCCATCAACTTAAGAATTAGAAAAGCCATATGTTGGGAAAAAAGGAATTATTTTGTTCCTGTCTGCATACTCATCTTTGAAAAAGATGAATATTATAGGCCTGCACATTATGGTGGGACCTGATTTGATTCTCCCCTGTAGTAAAACATCACTAAAGAAAATTACTACATTAGCTGACACTTCTAATGGATCACCCTTCCTTCAAAAGATTAGAAGTCCAACTTTAAGTGACTACTACCCACTGCCTTAGTCCATTTTGCATTGCTTTAACAAAATATCCAAGTTTTGGGGCTGGGATTGTGGCTCAGTGGTAGAGCGCTCGCCTAGCATGGGTGGGACCAGGGTTTGATCCTCAGCATTACGTAAAATTAAAGGCATTGTGTTGTGTCCATCTACACCTAAAAAATAAATATTTTAAAAAATATCCGAGTGTATGGGTAACTCATAAAATAGAGGTTAATTTGAGTCATACTTCTGGTGACTAGAAGGTCCAAACATCCCAGTGACAGCATCCCAATGAGGGTCCCAGACTGCATGACCCTATGGCAGAGAGGCAGGAAGGAACCAGCTGCATGTGGAAGGGTGCATATGTGAACAAGGAAGCAAGAGACAGTGGAGATGGCAAGGCTGTTCTTTTTATAACAGCCTGATCTTGAGGTAACCAAACCCTCTCCAAGTCAGCATTAATGCATTCAAGCAGGTGGAGCCTCCATGACCTACTTACCTTCCACAGGGCTTCACCTCGTAAAGGTTCCAACACCTCAACATCAACAGACCAGGAACCAAACTTCCAGCACATGAACCTCTGGGTCACCAGCCCTATCCACAGGATACACCCTCTTCCATGTGTTGATCACACTTGATTGACTAAGGTAAGATTAACAGGTAGCTGAGTATCTGAAAGACCTTGGACCGACATCAGGCTTTGAAAAGGCACCACATTCATTTCTCTTTGAGATGCTTAGATCACTTGTGTGCTCCCTACCAGTACCCTGTTGGATATAATACATGTGGCAAGAGAAGAGGCATGTGGGGAGGACTAGTTCCCATGCAGCTTCATCCCAAACTCAAGTTCACAATGGATAGGAATGGGGTGAAGGATTTGCAAATGGAATAAACGTGATGGCATTGCTAAAGTCAAGAGAAAATCACATGTCAAAAACAAGGAAATAAAGACCTCAGTACCATTTGACCCAATAAAGAACATATGGTAAGCTTTTTTTTCTTTCTTTCTTTTTTTTAATACCAGGGATTGAACCACAGGCAGAGCTTAACCAATGAACCACATTCCCAGCCTTGTTTTACTTATTTATTTATTTATTTAGAATTTTGAAATAGGGCCTTGATAAATAGCTTAGAGCCTTGCTAATTTGCTGAGGCTGGTCTTGAACTTATAATTCCCCTGCCTCAGCCTTTTCAGTCACTGAGATTACAGGCATATACCACTGTGCCCGGAGACATATGATAACTTCTACTGAGATATGCAACTATCATTTATCAGTTCTTCCAGACCTGTGTGGCTGCCCCCTGTGGCCACATGTCCTCCCTGTGGACTGCACCTGGCTCTTGGACTTACACAGGTTTTGCTGTCACATTCTTAATCTATAACTGTAAGATGCATTTCTCTGCACTATCTTAATAAAACAACATGGGAATATAGTTTTATAATAGCAACAAAGAGGGGGGAAAAGTCATAATTTTCCATGCTTCACTATTCAGAATAATTAATTTAATAACTGTGTCATATGAGAAGAGTAAATAAGGAGAAGAAAAGGGGTGTGGATATATGTGATCACTGAAGCATCCACAATTGCAAGGAAAAACAAATTACCAGGGTAGTGTCAGAAATAAAAGCTCCATGGGAATTTTTTTTTGCATGTTAATTTGATTCTTCTATTGAGCCTTAAAGCTGCAGTGTCTCTACAAGAGAACTGTTTATCTCCACTTGTTTTTATTTTTAGCTATTATATAACCTTATGTCTCTAAAAACCAATTAAACACCTTTCTGATCTCTGCTGGGAATTTTCCTTAAGTAGTTGTCTACTAGACCATAACAGGACTGTGATTTCATTTACAACATCTTGCTGGAGATTGTTTCATCATCAGAGGTGTTAAAAAAAAAGAACTGGAATTAATCAAGGACAGCAGAATCAAAATAAAATGCAGTTCTCTCTGGACACAGTTACATTCTCTGGGGTTTGTTTCACATGAAACACCAAGACTCTAGACCTAAGAGGAAGTGTTTGATTTTCTTGCCATGGTCCTTAAATTTGCAAGAAAGGATTATTTTTGAGTACAAGGAGACAAACTTAAGTCCCATGCCAGAAATATAGGCTTCTAAAGAAATTATTCCCTTTAAATTGGCAGATATAAAACTAAGTGTTCCTTGATTTGGTTAGCTAAAGCTTAAACCTCATCTACTCTCCCTTGTTTCTTCCTTGAATGTTAAGGAGATATCTCCTTTGCCTTTCCATATTAAGACTCTCAATATTTCCATTCAAATGGCAGGGCTCTATACATCCTGGATATTGTATATTCCCAAGATCACCATCATCCTCCACCTCTGTCCATCCTTTCTAAGAGCCAGCCCTTGAAACCAGCGGCCGCAGTGGCTTACCGACAATGTTTATGAGATCCTGTCAGGGTTTCGATCACAAAGCACTCGCCATCATTAAGACAGTATGCAAGGTCCTTGTCTCGGCAGGGTTTGAAGTGCTCAGATCTCTCAGTGGAATATGTCGTTGTATCTGTCAAGGAGAGCACAGAGGGAATACTGTCAGCATGCATTCCAACACCAACTGCTCCTGTCACTGGCCCAGATGTGTGCATCGAGGCCTGTGTATGGGGTACAATGGCAGGGACTTGAGACAAACAGGATTGACACTAAACAGTACTGAGCAACACAGCTAGTTAACCCACTGTGTTCAGTTGTCCTCATCATCCCTCTATATCTGCAAGTTCCACATCCTGGGATTCAACCAACTACAGATGGAAAAAATTCAGAAAGATAAGAGCTGTATCTGTACTGAACATATCTACACTTCTTTTTATCTTGTTGCATCACCTAAACAATACAGTGTACCATCTATTTATATACCATTTACATTGTATTTGGTATCATAAAAAAATCCAGAGATGATTTAAAGTATATAAAGGGGCATGCATATGTTATGCAAACTCTACTCCATGTTACACAAGAGGCATGCACATCCATCTGGACACCAATCCATTGAGTCTCCTGAGCCAATACCCTGAGGTTGACAAGGGACCACTGTATTTCTTCAATGGGTTTTAATAATTGGAGTTACTCTAGAGAAGTCTCATTTGAGGACACATTAACAGTAAAAGTTGATTGATCCTGAGCCAAACACCCAAATCTACTTTCAGCAAATGTGTTGTATGAAGTATTGAAACAACATCTTTTTTGCTTTATTGTTGCCAAATATCATTAAACATCTGATCAATGTATTTCGTGATTGTTCTGTAGAAAACTCATGTCAGTTTTTGAGTTCTTTTAGCTACAGCTACAATTGGCTAATAGCTAAGCCAATTATTCTTTCACTTTCTCCTTTTATTATGTAATTAAAATGCAAATGTTCCAATTTCTGAAACAGATAATCACATGTGAAAAATGTTTCTGGTAAATATTTAACAGGACCAAATTATTGTCATTTTTTAGCATTCTCTTAAACATGTATTTTTGAAATCATAATCAGTTACATTTTTAAATTAAGTTATACATCTATATCTGCTTTCCAAATATGAAACTAACCATAAATATGCACTATCCATAGAATACAAATTCTATCACCATATGTAGACATTTTTCTAGCTATAGAATTTTCAGCATCTGAAGTATTAACACCAATTCCACTTTAACAGTCAAGAGAAAATATATGTATTTAAAAAGTCAAAGATGAATAAATTATTCAACATAAGCTGTTTTTAATTTTCTTTTTATAGATCTAGATTGCTAATAATGTTCACCAGCATGGCATAGGAAATCAGATCACTAACTACAGGTCACAATGAGCTTCTTCCCTGCTTATCATGCAAACTGATGGGAAACCAATCATCTTAAAAGGAAACCTGCTCAAGTCTCTCCCACATCTAAAAGTCCTCAGTGGGGCTGAGATATATACAGTGGCAGAATGGATACTTGGCATGTGTGAAGCCCTGTGTTCAATCCCCAGCACCACAATCAATAAATACATAAATAAATATATTTTTAAGGAAATAAATATTCCTCAGTGATTACTGTCATGAGGATAACTTAATAAAACAAAGAAAGATGGGCTTTCTTTTAATTTTAATTTAATTTATTTTAATGTAATTTTGCCTATCTGCTCTCTTTTTTATAGCATTAGAGGAGTACTGGGGATTAAACCCAGGGGCCTTAACCACTGAGCAACATCCCCAGCTTCCCCGCAACTTTTTTATATTTTATTTAGAAACAGGGTCTCGCTGAATTGCTTAGGACCTCGCTAAATTGGTGAGGTCGGTTTTGAACTTGCAATCCTCCTGCCTCAGCACCACCTCCCTCCCCGAGCCAATGGGATGATAGACATCTCGCTGGTCACTTCTTGCACTCCAAACATACCAAACATACAACTTAATTTTCAACTATTATTGTATTCCCCTCATATGCCAGGTTCTGTCACCCTGCTCTTGTTGAATCAAACTTCTTTCTCATCCACTTATTTTTTTTTTTTTCTGGGAGAGACCCTGAAATCCTTCAGAACTTGAATGATCTACTCCTGTCCTGTGCCTCCCCCAACCCTGCTTCCCATTATTCATTTAATGCCATAATAGTTTGTTCCTAAGTTTATCCATATCCATCCTTTTAGTCTATGAACTCCTTTAGGAGAGGAGTTGAAATCTAATCAGAATTGGTGCTCAGTAAAAATATTGTCAATAAATCTGACCTCCTAACATCACCAACCATTTAAATGGTATGAATGAAAGATGGGGTCATTTAAGATCTCATTACAACTCTATTAATAGTTATTGTATCTCTTAAAGCAAAACATTAGATACAACTTTACAATTATGCTATTGTTTTGGTACATGTATAATGTTAATGAATATTTCAAAAACAATACCTTAAGATTATTTATATAACTCTCATATTCCTCACTTATTGAGAGCATTGAAAAAACAAAGTGACTTTTTGGTATCCTCCTTCTTGGTGTTACAATGGAAACTTTTTTTTTTTTCAGTGTAAAATATCTGATTGTTAATACTTTGAAACAAAACAAAGGCTCTGCAAATGGACGCATTTTCCATTTTCTAAGAGATTGTCTGTACAGTGAAGATCTGTTATTCAAGGCAGTGTGTGATAAACCGCCACACAGAATCAATCTCTCTTTCTCTGGGAAATATTTAATATTCAAGAGATCCAACCAAAATATTCAATATGAAATGCCACACAGTTCACTGCTACTCTGACTGCTGAAGTACATTAACTCATGATCAGTTAGTTAACTTTTCCTTTAATTTCTTATTATCTATTTATTGATATTCACTGATCATTCCTTTAAGAACAGCTTTTCATTAACATAACCTACAGCATAAAAAGTGAGATCCTTATTTTAAAATCAGTGGTTTTAAAAAGCTACAGACTCCAAAGGCAATACAATGGCAAAGCAATTACAATCAATTATTTCCATCTGACAAGGGATGTCTACTGTGGTTACCGCCTATCAAGTTGCCAGTTATTGGAATGTTACAGAGGATCAGAGACCCACACAAATGTCTCTGCCAGTCCTGGGTGGGAGAGCACAGAGATATGCAGCTTAGCATGTGCTCAGATTTTCTATTTCCATAGCTCAGATGATTATGAAATTAATTTAAAACACACATACTTATCTCTTATAACGCCTTAAGTGGTTTCAAAGAAAACATCATTATTACCCCTTTGAATAGCTTAATGTTATAAAAGTGAAATATGCTGTGTTTGTGCTTCTTATAATCAATAAAATGCAAATATCAATAAATTTGAAATCTTAAAGAGTTTGCCTAAGCATTTCAACATAGAGTGCCAAAAATCACAGAGACTTTGGGTAGGGTAAGGTACACTCATCATGGCATGATTATTTGCTCTTGAAAGTCATGCCAAAGCTGTGGATGGAAACAGAAAATGAAGTCACTATTCTGTTAAGACTTTTATTAAGTAAATATTAAGCATATTATATCCAAATCACTTTTGGCCAGACCATCTATTATCACCACACATAGTCTAACAAAGAGACAGTGAGGATGTTGTGTGATGCCTTCCAATACTTATATAATTGATACCCTCAGATATTTACACACACACACACACACACACACACACACACTTTATTCTTTAACATATAAAAGATATTACAAAAATTAAATAGCACAAATTGAAATAAATAAATAAGACAAATATTAAATATAAGGTGCAATTCTTCTCTCCTCCCCTAAGGTAATACAGCAGGCTCTAATACATTCAGCTGAGTATTCTGTTTAGAAGGGTAAACATAGGAAATTTGTAGGAATGAAATAACAAATAAGATCTAACTCCAAGTTGTAGCTGTGAACAACCTTGGGGTATCTTAGTAATCAGATACAGAGCTCTCACCTATGAATGTATCTAACATTGTGAAACCTGTTTTTATTTTTAAAAACTGTACCCTATAAGATAATCTAATAAATTAATCTGGGTATAGAGTACATGGTACCATTTTGTCATGTACTAATCAAACACCTATTTTATTATGTTTTTAAAATATTTTTATAGATGTTGATGGACCTTTATTCTTTCATTCAGATGTGGTGCTGAAAATCAAACCCAATGTGCCATACATGCTAGGCAGATTCTCTACAACTGAGCCACAACTCCAGCCCCATCAAATATCTATTCTATACATATGATTTGGTAAATTTATTATAGCTATTAATGGCCTTCAAAAACTGTATGAATGAAGGTCTAGGTGAGTCAGTATTGCCATGTATCCCCATTTGTCTTTCAAGGCTCCTCCTTACTCTAGAGAGTGCTTCATTAGACATCATTCTTTCCACCTGCACCTCTATATGGATATCCCATCTGATTGGATCATGAGTGTTTGTGGAGGACAGCAGGCCTCCACATCTCCCATGGTCTTATACATGCCCTGACAGGAAGGTGCACACAATAGATGTTTATAGAAGAATAATCTGTTTATTCAGAGTCTTTTTTCTAAATGTTTATGGTGCAAAGTATGCAATATTTTTTGTTATCATCATAAAAGAAATCTCTATTTAAAAAAAACTGAAAGAACATGAATAAATGTTTAGAAGTTAGGATGTGAGAAGTGTTTCAAAAGCAATTTATGTAGATTTTATATAGATAGAAGGATAAGCTCCACAACATGGAGGATGAGGGAAAACAAACAAAAAATTAGGAAGTGTTTTTTAAAGAGAGGGGCATGAAGGATAGAGGATTGTGAAGTTTAAGATGAGCAGAGATGGTGCTAAGGAAGAGCCTTCCAGGCCCCATGATCAGCAGTCAAGGGCTTATCTCTAAGAAAGAAGTAAGTCCACTGGTTGAGGTATAGTGCCCAATCACTTGGGGCCACTTGAGCTATGCAATTATCTGGACCACTCATCTGGCACTTATTATGTGTAGTTTACTGTGTATTCTTCTTTACTTTTTTTAATGGGTTTTGGTCTCTCTTTCCAGGGAGGTCAGGGAGAGTACTTTGTTTTTAACTTCTGTATTCTTTCCACACCATGTAGCATA